TTACACCAGTTTGAATTATTCATTCTTAATACAATACCCATGAGCCTCAGCTGCTGTGAGGCTGATCAGAGGTGTGTTAGTGTGTGTGTTACTGTGTGGGTGTGTTACAGTGTGGGTGTGTTCCAGTGTGTGTCACAGTGTGTGTGTGTGTGTGTGTTACAGTGTGCGTGTGTTACCGTGTATGTGTGTGTTACAGTGTGCGTGTGTGTAACTGTGTGTGTGTGTGTGTGTTACAGTGTGTGTGTGTGTTACTGTGTGTTACTGTGTTACTGTATGTGTGTGTGTGTTACCGTGTTTGTGTGTGTGTGTGTGTTATGGTGTGTGTGTGTGTGTTACTGTGTTACAGTGTGCGTGTGTGTAACTGTGTGTGTGTGTGTGTGTTACTGTGTGTTACTGTGTTACAGTGTGTGTGTGTGTGTGTGTGTGTGACAGTGTTTGTGTGTGTGTTTTGCTTTACTGTGTTACAGTGTGTGTGTGTTACTGTGTTACAGTGTGTGTGTGTTAATGTGTTACAGTGTGTGTGTTACCGTTTTACAGTGTGAGTGTGTGTGTGTTACAGTGTGTGTGTGTTACTGTGTTACAGTGTGTGTGTGTTACTGTGTTACAGTGTGTGTGTGTTAATGTGTTACAGTGTGTGTGTGTGTGTGTGTTACCGTTTTACAGTGTGTGTGTGTGTGTGTTACCGTTTTACAGTGTGAGTGTGTGTGTGTTACTGTGTTACAGTGTGTGTGTGTGTGTGTTACCGTCTCCAGGTTCTGTCGTTCTCTCATCTGTTGAGGTTCCTGTAAAAATCAGCATCAGTCAAAGCCAGGACACAGCTGATTGGTCACATGATGCTGTGATGTCATCATGTTCAGTGATATTCAGGGTGTGAGTAACCTCTGACCTCTGAACTCTGACTGGACTCAGATGATGAAGAGGAGGAGGAGGAGGTTCTCTGTTCAGCCAAGTAAGTGACGGTCGAAGGCTGCACACACACACACACACACACACACACACACACACATACACACACACACACACACACACACACACACACACACACCACACACACACACACACACAGGACATCAGTGTGTGTGAACAGGTGACCTCTCAGTCACATGGTGTCTGTGTCAGAGATGTGGGCGGAGACTCACTGTGGTCAGGTCCAGTTGTTGAAGCTGGAGGCTTCCTCCAAGTTCACCTGTCGACTGATGGAGTGACACACACCTGAGTCATCGACCAATCACAGCTCTAATAACTGATCAGTTGATCAATACAGATGATTCTTACAGGAGCAGCCTGGTTCTGGTCCAGCAAAGCCACGATCACCACAAACATCCACATCCTGATGGTCCTGGTGGTCCAGGTCAGTCCTCGTCTGGGGTCCTCCTGGTTCTGATTAGTTCTCGCTCTGTTCTGTCTTTTATTGTCTGTTCAGCAGGAAGTCACCTGTCATCATGTCGTCCTCTGTCCCGCCCCCCCTCCCACTGTCGACAAAAACAACCTGATTTACACTGACAGAGAGTGTGTTTGTGTCTGTGTGTGTCTGTGTGTGTGTGTGTGTGTGTTACAGTGTGTGTGTGTCTGTGTGTGTCTGTGTGTGTGTGTGTGTGTGTTACAGTGTGTGTGTGTCTGTGTGTGTCTGTGTGTGTGTGTGTGTGTGTTACAGTGTGTGTGTGTCTGTGTGTGTCTGTGTGTGTGTGTGTGTGTGTTACAGTGTGTGTGTGTCTGTGTGTGTCTGTGTGTGTGTGTGTGTGTGTTACAGTGTGTGTGTGTCTGTGTGTGTCTGTGTGTGTGTGTGTGTGTGTTACAGTGTGTGTGTGTCTGTGTGTGTCTGTGTGTGTGTGTGTGTGTGTTACAGTGTGTGTGTGTCTGTGTGTGTCTGTGTGTGTGTGTGTGTGTGTTACAGTGTGTGTGTGTCTGTGTGTGTCTGTGTGTGTGTGTGTGTGTGTTACAGTGTGTGTGTGTCTGTGTGTGTCTGTGTGTGTGTGTGTGTGTGTTACAGTGTGTGTGTGTCTGTGTGTGTCTGTGTGTGTGTGTGTGTGTGTTACAGTGTGTTTGTGTCTGTGTGTGTGTGTGTGTGTCACAGTGTGTCTATGTGTGTTTATTTGTTGTCTTTCAGGCTCCTAATGAACAGAAACTTCTGTAGTTTTAATGTCATTGTTTTTTATCTTATGACTTTATCGTAATTTTTAAACATATTTTATATTCACATTCTTACACATAGATTTTTTTTATGTTTATTGATTTAAAAAAAAACAAAAAACGCTGTGATTCCATCGAAGCAACAGACACGAACAAAGAACAAGGTTCACATTCAAACAGGTGAGAGAGTCAGGACTCAGACAGGTGTTGTCAGGACTGAACTACACGCCGTCTGTCAGGATATCATATATCATATATCATGTCACATATACTGTATATATAATGTCATATATCACACATCATATATCACAAGTCATATATCATGTATAATGTCATATCATGTCATATATACAGTGCTGCTTGAAAGTATGTGAACCTTCCAGACATGGTCACTGTTTTTGTAAAAAACATTAAAAGAACCTTATTTAACAGACATCCAAATCCTAATTTGTAAAGCACACTTTTCAAATACTGGACTCACACACAAAAAGAGATATTTTTCCATTATGTAGTTCAACAAATGTGGTTTATTTCACAAACACTGAAAATGTAACATGTGCAAAAGTATGTGAACCCTTCCATTAGTAGCTTGTGGCTCCTCCTTTTGCAGCCATTACTTCAACCAAACGTCTTCTGTAACCTCTAACCAGTCTCTCGCATCTGCTCATGGGGATTTTTGCCCACTCCTCCTTGCAGAACTCAGCCAGTTGAGAGAGGTTGGAAGGACATCTGGCATGTACCATCTTCTTCAGGTCTCGCCACAACATTTCAATAGGATTTAGATCTGGACTTTGACTGGGCCAATCCAGAGTACGAATCCTCTTTCTCTGAAGCCATTCCTTTGTAGTTTTGCTGGAATGCTTCGGGTCATTGTCTTGTTGCATAATCCATTTTCGTCCCAGCTTCAACTGTTTGACTGATGGCAGGAGATTCTGGTCAAGAATTTGTTGATATGCCTGAGAATTCATGGTTCCCTGGATAATATGGAGTCGCCCAGTTCCAGAAGCAGAGAAGCAGCCCCAGATCTTCACATTTCCACCACCATGCTTCACTGTAGGGAGGAGGTTCTTTTCTTCATTTGCAGTGTTGGCTTTTCTCCAAACATGGCGGTTTTGATTGTGACCAAATAACTCTACTTTAGATTCATCTGTCCAGAGAATGGACTCCCAGAAGGCCTCTGGTTTGTCTAAGTGCTCTTTGGCAAAGTTGAAACGGGCAGCTTTGTTCTTTTTTGAGAGCAGAGGCTTCCTTCTAGCAACCCTCCCATGAATGCCATGGCTATTCAATTTTCGTCTGATCGTAGACGCATGCACATTTGTCCCAGATGCTACCAGAGAGGTCTGCAACTCTGTAGAGGTGATGTGTGGGTTGGCCTTTACCTGACTTATTATTTTTCTGGTGGCTCTGGGTGATAGTTTTGATGGGCGCCCACTTCTAGGCAGAGTTGCTGTCATGTTGAAGGCCCT